GAAATTGAAGTTCTACATGTTTAAGTGTTATTCATTATTCTAAGTACTTGAAAAGATAATCTTAGGTTCCAATTTAAGAGAAGCGATTCAATGAAATTCTTCTGCCTTAAACATGTATCCTAAAGCATAAAACATACTACAAGCCTTTAATTGGACATATTATCATTATGCAAATATCACTTTATCTCAGTGAAAATAAAGCAAATAAAAATAATGGAATGTAGACTTGGGATTAACCTTGATTTAACTCAAATGTCAAAACGAATATACTTTTCTATGAAATATTATAAGTACATGAAATATAAGAGGCACGAGACTACAAAATTAATTAACCTCTTGAAGAGTTTTTTTTTTGAAACAAGCACATTATATTTGAGTTTTTAAAATGTAAAAAGCACGTTTCTCAGTTCTAGTGAAAACAAAACAAAATTTACATACTTTATCAAGATAGGTAATAATAATTGGAAATGTATGAATGTTCAGATATTTTAATGAATTCAGTAATAACATTCGGAATGAGTAGATATTGAACTAAAGTTTATGTAGATAAACTTCAACTAGAAAACTATTATGTTCATTTTATAAACAGAATTTTACTTGACTAAACTTACTTGTCAACAATTAAGTAAATGATCAGTGTATTGTATTAAAGTTTTGTCTCTTACTCAAAAAAAAAAGACATTTGTTTAGCAAAAACTAGTAATTTTTACTCAATATGTTGTATTATGAATGAATTGATGTGAGTTACTATTTTACAAGAAATATCGAGGTTTATGGCTATGGGATTTTAATCAATAGGTTTATAATATTTCAAATCATATATCATACAAACCCCTACAGACGTGATTAGTTTTTCTGTCCAAATTTTTCTTTCAAACTTTATTGAATTAATATTATTGTAGTAAGGAATGTAAAAACGTTTACACAAAAAAAAACAGTGATACATTCTTACCCATTAGATGATACCATAATATTATAAATAAATAATAAATCGAGATTATTCTTCACGACTTGATCACTCGAATATATACCTACAGTTGAACAAGCTCATAATAGTGGAGTATTTTCACAGTGGATTGATCACTGGGTGGTGATCAATGTCATGTATGTCAGATCCTTCTTAGTGCAGATCGAATCTTATCGACCAAGTTGCAATGTAGCCACCAGTCTAGGTGACTTGGTCGATAGGATGCGATTAGTACTAAGATGGACCTGACCACTCAGTGATCAATCAATTGTGAATACATTTCTGTTCTACAGGAGGTCAGTCACGACCCGAATAGCTCAGTGGTAACGTCTCTGACTGTGAAGCTGGGTGACACAAGATTGAATCCGTCATGAAGAATCAGTTCCCTCAAGATAACAGGTACACCGTGCTGACGAATGCCAAGTAGTACGAAATGTAGGTCCAGGGTTTCATGTTGACTACCTCCAAACACCATCTTAGAGCTTATCTAATTTTACACTTTCGGTTTACATACAGGTATATTTGAGAAACTCTCAATAGATTGTGAATTTCTTCATATTTTGATGTTTCAAATATTTTTTCTACTAAGTGAATTAAATGCATCACAAAATCTAAAGACCTTCCAAACAGAAAGTCATTTATGCACCTGAATATCTGTAATAGTTAATTATGGCAAGATAAACATAAACATTTTCTGATGATATAATAATATAATAATATATTTTACCGTAATTTAATGTTTGAATTCATGAGTCAATTGAAGCTAAACCACCATGGAAAACCTGGAAGCACTAGACGACCGTTTCATCCTAGTATGGGACTCCTCAGTAGTGTGTATCAACGATCCCGCTTCTTGAAATACGAATCCAGGATCTATCGGTCTCGCTCCCGAACGCCTAAAACTTAGACCACTGAGCCGGCATACAACGGTGGTAATGTCTAACTTCAACCTGGTATGTTATGAGATAGTAAGTCACTTAAGATAATGATGGATGGTGGCAACAACCTTCGCATATAATGCAAAGATATAAGCTTCGATCCAGATAAGTGTATGCAATCAGCATCAGCCGAATAGTAGAATGAATGTCCATTGAGGAATCATATACAAACTACTGAGGCTATAATTTTGGAACAATTGATACAACAAATGTGTTGACGAAAAGCAAAACGAGTTGTGTCTGAAACAGCATTATAACACTATAATTACTATATCAGTTTCTATGTATCATTACCAAGGTTTGATTTGATAGTTTCGAATAAATTGAGCAATGGGTAGATTGTTATAAATAAATAATATATTTGTAAATATATCATTTATTTATATCAGTTTCGTAAAAATTGAGAAAATATTAAAAATTAAATAACTGCGCAACGTTACTTAGTGTTGTATAACCGTTGTACACTGTCACAACAAAACGTACTGAATTTCATGAAATACTCATCTAAAATGTAATTTGTTTCAAATATCCCAAAACGGAAAAACTACGAATATCCATTGATTAAAAGTACCTAACTATTCAGTTATCCTGTTAAATAGAAACTATTCAATAGCCTATATCCAATAAGTAACGGGAAGAGATTGTTACTATTATTGATAATATGTTTTATAACCCACGGGATCGACCATAAGAATTTCCCAAATATCTCAGTATGCATACAAATAATCATTTTGTACAAATATATCGTAGATATTTTTTCTGGCTTTCAAGTCGCTTATGATTATCTTGTGTTTTATAACTAAAACATTATACTACTTATAATTTAAAAGTAAATAAATACTCGTTTGTAAATATTATAATTATCAAAACGACTGCATCAATGGTTACATGAAGTTGATCGACCAGTTCTCTTTAAAATACAAGCCATAGGTTGATCACAGAAAAGATCTTCTAGTGTCTTTGAATAGATATATTGAAACTATTTATCACGCGCTGTGCATATTAGGCTTAAGCATTTAAACATAATACTGAGAATCTTGATTATAAAATATGCCAAATTTATCAGTAATAAATCAGATAGTCCCAACTATGATCCCATACAAAAAAAAACGATTACTTTGGTAGATTTCCTAACCAAACAGACTATTGTAGTTTTCACACCTTTTCATTAAGCACACTGAAATTTAATAAATTCGTATGATGCTTCAATTTGTCACAACTGACTACAAGTGTTAAAAATCTACAACATTGTGAGTTCATGAATAGACATATTACCACACGTTTAATAGATGAATACAAATCAAACTAGTATAATATAGCCAAAAAATAATCAAAGTTTCTTCTTCTAAATTTATTCGGTAAAGCTTGCTTCGTACATACAATCGAATATTCTTTTAAGCCTAATAGTTACAAGTAGCTTTCATAGTTTTATTAAATCTTCATCTAGATATTGAAGATATACATTTGTAAAGTCTTTTATCGATAACCATTTTATTCACATCTGTTTATTCACATCATTCTTGTTGAGATAAAATATTTTTTCCAGCAGTTGTTTGTATTATCCATCAATTATTAAATCTATTGACCATTTACGTGAAATTTTATTTTCCCATCTCGGAAAATGAAATAAGTATGAAACATTTATTTCCTTATAAAAACATTACTCTTGAAAATTTCAACGGATTTGACATTATCTATTGTGTCCCATATAACCTTTATTTACTTATTCATGTCCTATGTAAAATAACTGTCTATATGTTTTCTTTTATTCTCTATGAATACGGTCATTTATCAACCTTTTTGATTTCATATGCCTGAACTTGACAATATGGGATTACATTTAAATTTTTAAAAAAACTTGAATAAAATCCTTCTAGATCTAATTTCCTTCAATGTCCCAAGAATAAATTTTGGTATAAATATTATCAATTTCAGTTAAATAGGTCTATAACTCTCTTTTATTTATAACTCTACAAAACTATATGTTTATTAGTTAACCTTGTTTTAAGCTTTCATTAAAAATTCATTGTCCTTAACAACATAATTTCTTTTACGTTATTAGTTCCCATTTATGGTGTACTTAGTATTCCAAACTCATGTTGTACGATTACGGCTGTATTTCATTATGATATAGTTATTAAAAGTAGTTAAGTAGTATTTTTGAACTTCCTTTTAAATTTAAAGTCTGATAAATCATTATAAAGTTCCTTAAAATAGAGTATTTAAAGCAGAAGAAAACCTATAGTTAACAGTATATTTCATATTAGTGCGATATTCGAATATCTATGAAAGTGGAATATACAAAAGTTAAATCTAGTTAATTCATAGGTGATAGTCATTATTATAACATAAGAGTAAAGTTATATTCAGTGGATTTAGTAAATATTCCATGGCCATTCAATCTACATGTATCTTTTTTAAGTAAGTGAACAATTACCTCATTTATCCAGTCATTAAAACTAGATTTTTCATCAGTGACATTTTATTTCATTAATTTGTGATATGTGTATCTAGACGATGTTTTATGTAGCATCTATGGAAGAACTAGTGGAAAACGATCAAAATTCACATAATATTGATTTTTCGAATAAATTTATATCGATAAATAGATGTAGCAACGGAATCTCCATTTTCCTTGATTGGTGTGGATTTCTTTAGGAATTTCTTGAATAAAAATACTACCATTTAATTTAAGTTCTCGGAAAATGTCTGATCACGGTTTGTGCAAGGTACTCTGTTAATATGATAAGACAAAAGATTTAGAGCACATTTAAAACATGTGAAGTGTACAACATATGGCTTTAGTTTAACCCAGGAGAAATGATATATTACTCACAAAACAACATTTGTTGACTGCTGAATTGAAAGTTACTAGAAATCTTTAAAAACGAAGTTATATATTTTATCAAAGATACAGAAGATGAATAGGTTAAATGAAATTGAATCACATCTGTACTAAAGTGATTTCTTAAAGATTCTGTAGATAGAAAAATTAAAGTTGAATACAAGATAGAGTCAAAATACCGGCCATAACTTTTATTAGTACTTTGAATTCGTACAGTATAGATACACTGTAGTGAATTTTTTTATCATTGATGAGTCCGCCTTTTGTTCGTATAGCTAGTCCAAAATATTCCGAAGAACCTGAAAAAGATATATTGTTACTAATAATAAATACTTTGCATTTGAAGTATTTTTCAACTTTTGAAAAAGATTCACGCACAGAAATATTCTCAGGAATTATTTTACAAGGGAACTAAAACTAGTATTTAAAAAACTGGAGTTTCTGATTTCAGTAGACCGACTGTTACTCATAGGTGATTGAATATCGTGGAGAAAACCTTCACTTAGGAATAAATATGTCATGAAATTTCATGAAGAGACTACTGGAGAAGAAAACACTCAGAAGAATGTGTGACACGATTTTGAAGAATATAATTACTCCTAATGTTTATTCTGTATAACATATAATAAAGAAGATTACTGTGTGTTGGTTGATGTTAAACAATAACATAACTTTTGAGTCCTTTCAATAAGAGTATGAATTAATTATTCATGTAGTCAAGTTCGTTAGACATACACCGAAATAACTCATTAAACATCATGATTGTTTCAATATTTACAAATCCCTGACAATATCTTAATTAATTTGATCTCAACAAATATTTTATTCCAATTTCAATCAATAGTCACTAACTTGGGAGTAGATTTCCAACATTTCCAGTGACTAGCAGTAATTACTTCAGCTCGCCTGGTATCAGGCCTGAGTGGTATTAACTGTTGGTCAAACCATATCGTTAACTAACTAAAGTAAAGATTTGAGCTAACTGGTTTAAACTTACCAGAATAAGTGTGTTGCTTTCACCCAGAGATTTGGAACTTTAAGGCTCGATTCCATGTGAGATAGCATAGACACTATTAGGAAGTCCCAAGTTAAAATAGAATATTTCTCATGTTTTATTGGTCTTCTAGATTATGTTAGTCAACGACAAGTTTTTCCAGCCTAAATATGATAAATAAAATGGATATATTATGAAATTAATCTATTAGAGATTTGTCACGATTAACTCATTTCTCACAAGGTTATTATGTATTTTAAAATAGGAATCGCAAATTTATTCGCCAAAATTTATAAATTTCATATACCTGTTATCTGATTTATTTCTTCTCATACTCTACAGGAATCTTTTACCTTATTTGATTATAAAATAGTCACAACCTCAGAACAGAAAAAATACCGACGCCCCAGAATATTTAACGGAACTATTGTTTTCATCTTATCTTTTGAGATCCTAGGTCAATGGTTAGGATAATTTTTAATGTTTCGATATTAGAAAGTAAAATCCATAGGTTCTTCAAAATGATAAATATCTGTCCTAATCGAGTAAAAGTCTACACACTTCGTCAAGGCACATATCTCAAACTTACTCTATTCATTTCACTTGTAGTCTATAGTATAGTTTTTGCAAACCTGGAAATCCTCTACTGTAGTGTTTGCTACTGACATCATCAGATATAAATAGTATGTATCATCAATCGAAAGTGAAATACCTGGCAGCAGAAGGTTAAGAAGAGTGAAGAAAACAGGGCGAGAACAGTGAATAATTGCTATGGAAATGAAGGAACAATAAAGTCTGTGACGATTGATTGACATTTGCAAAAGGAACAGTCAAGTTTAAGACAATTGATTAACATTTTCCAAATAAAGAACTTACTGTATGGTTCTCAAATTTTACTAAGATGTTCTGTAATTTTATGTTCAAATACATTTGGTTGTGCCCACTTATGTTCTCCTTCACTACATTACTTCTTCGGTTTGTTTGATTGGATTTACAATAATATTACGCAACAGTTTCTATGATCAAATAAGAAGTAATCAAAATATTTATTATTCCCATTGGTTATCTTTGATATAATGTATGTACTTCACCGTATATATCCTATATATATATAGGGTATAATCCTTAGAAAATATAAATATTTCCCATGTCATCTTATTTATAATTATTGAGTTATTTAATTAAATATAATCAATAATGTTGTGAGAATAGTAAAATTACGAATCGCAATTACCGATTCGCCTGTTACTGTTGAGAAAACTGAATTGTTCGTTTTTATGAACAGATGATATTCATTAAAATACTTTTTTTTAAGAAAACATTTTCATTTGTTCTTTATGATGATAAATCAGTAATTTAATTAACTTTTATAAAAATTTCTTCAAGGTAGTTCCCACTCTTTATGGATAAATATTATTTGGGAAATCCTTGATGATCAAGGATCTCTTATCGTTGTAAATGTTTATTTCATAGAATAGTTTCAGCAACTAATAGCTTTCCAAATATCGATAAAGCCATTTACTAATAGGATCATAGATTCACTTTTATTTAGTTTAAAATTATTTGTTGGAAACTGATAGATCAATATTTTAAATAAAATGAAGTCAGAAAATTTAGATAATGGGACTTAGTGATTTGATATTATTGTATTGATCTTAAGATTGTAAATTTGTCTTATAGACGTATCAAATATAAACGGAAACTATGTTTACTGAGCGAAAATGGATAGTGGCTAGAAGTGGGATCCAGAACGTACATTTCGTCCTATTTGGGACTCGTCAGCTGGATGCACGTGCATCGCAGAGTTGATGTACACTCTGGGACTCAAACCCAGTACCGTTCGCTTCGAACGCCATCAAGTTATTCACTTAGCTACTGAATCCTGGTAGCCACCTGTTTGTGCAAGATGGTGAAGTTTAAATTCACTTGGTGTTGTTTTACTTGTATCTTCCCAATCGCAGTCAGTTGTAGTCTTAAATAACAGTGAGAAGATACAAGTAAAACAACACCAAGTGAATTTATGTTTAGCGACTTTACATTTTCAACAGCTTTTATAGATCTGCTATTAACTGAGCATGAGAAACACATTCACATCGCACAAATATATTGAATTCAAAAACAAAATCACTTTTTATCAAAAGGTTGACCTCTAGACCTAACAGTATCTTAGAAATTAGGTGCTTTGCTTTTTATATTTTATTTGGATAAAAAGCAAAAGAAACTGAAAGGATTCTCGTGCAGGTTTAGTATGCTTAACAATAGTTGATCGTAATTCATTCATTTTTTAGAGCACGAATTATAAAACATTTTGTGTCGGGAATATTTATGCAGTATTACTTACTTACGCCTGTTAATACTCATGGAGGAAGGTAGGCTAACCACCACCATTCTCTATTCAGCTCTGCTCTGGACAATCCTTCTACGTGTTTTCAGTTGTTATTCAACCTTTTGATGCCTGCTTTCAATTCCCGATGCAGTGTATTCTTTAGTCCTTCCTGAGATTTCCAAAGAATCTCAGCTTCCAACATGAGGCGTCATAATTCTTCTGAATAATGATCCTTCAACTTCTAGGATAGAACTTAACTGGTTTAAATTGTTTTTTTCTGTTGAACGTTTGTTTGGCAAGGTTGTTTTCTATGGGCAGGGGTTACTGACCCCATACTCAACCCTCCTTTACGCGAGCTTGCGGCCGACAGTAACCCTAGAATAGCTAAGGGCAGAGTTATTTATGCAGTATTGTCATTTATCTCAAGACTTTTAGTTCCATAATTTTATTAAATAGTCGATGAATAATGGGGTTGTATAGAATATTTTGAGTGAATATGTTTAGTCATATAACGAAAGTGGACATACGTATTCAACTGCTTTCTCTTTCACCACAGAATCCCTTCTATGCAAAATTAAATGAAAAGTCATAAATTCATTTTGTTTAGATTACAAATATATGACTATTTTTCTTATTGACTAAGAATTTACTGTTGATATATATGAATAAAGTACTTAATGTAACAATAAACACTTTTATCATTTTAATAAATAGGGATCATTTTGAAAGGGATTATCACGAAATAAAACTAGTTTCCTGGAGTTCTAGTGAGAAGCAGTGACCAGTGAAGTTCAACCGGGTCTGTTGTGAGGTAGTAACTCACTGAAGACAATAGTCGACAGTGGCTCAATTTCGTGGATTAGTCAAAGTTAGACATTAACATCGTTTGGTGCCAGCTCAGTAAACTAGAGGTTAAGCGTTCGTGCGCGATACCGATAGGTACTGGATTCGAATCTCGCTGGGGACGAGATAGTGGATGCGCACGCTGAAAATTCCCACAATTGGACGAAACTGCCATTCAGTGCTTCTAGGTTTTCCATGGTGGTCCAGCTTCAATTGACTCATGATCCAAACTGTTGAAATAAAGTAAATTTATTAAACTTCCATTATTCGGATGTACACATATAGATACAATAGAATCTCACCTATTAAGCTGGTTTAAATTAGAATATATTTGCAGTGATAAATTCTCGACTTCGAACAAGGCTAGTTATTCACCAAAGAAATCTATTTTCAATTAATTTTTTATCTGGTTGTGTATAATATATGTATTTATTAACGTGTTTTGAGGTTTAATTTCATTATATATATATACGAAGACTCCGCCTGAAGCCCCTCTAGGGCCTGTCCCAAGCCCTGATAAACGAGGAGGGTTGGGAATGGGGTTAGCGACCTCATCCCGTAAAAAACTAACTCGCTATAAAAATGCTAACCAGAAAAAACTATTCAAGTAATATATGTATACGATTGTACAGCTTGATAATGAATTCGTTGATAGTGATATATTCTTTGAAATTTGTATTTCCACAGACATTTTTCGCTTCAATGTTCTTGTGTTTCTTTTTTAAACTTGATACAGTTTAGTGAAAGTAGAACACATGACAATAAAACACTCCTTTATGAACATAATTTTTTGTTTACTCTTGCTTATAAACAGGTTGAAAGTTATTGGGTGTTTTTTTAAACACAACAAGAAAACTCTGATCCATGAAACTAGATTTTATCTAAATAATTTTGGACAATGAATGTTCATTTATTTACAAATTAGTTTAGTCTCTTCTACTCTAATAATTTTACAAATTTAACAATACAACAGTCAGAATTTATTAGACAAGTAAACACAATTCTCTTTCAGTATACAAATAACGTGCACGTATTCAATATGAAAGTATCTACGTTTAAAGATTGAATATGCTTATTGTGTTTTTTTTTAAATCAACAAATATATTTGAAGCCGTTTATTGTGTCATTCTGCATGGCAACCACATTTAATATTAACATTATGATCACCAAATAGTTTTCATCAGTAAGTTATTTTATTTCGAAGAGATATAAATTAGATAATTTAATAGGTGTCATTGACTTTTGCCATGTTAATTTTCACGTGAAAAAATGGCCAGTCAGAACATCGACATATACGACTTCATCCATGTGCAATACCAATAACGCGTTGATCAGCACGAGCAGCCTAGAGTCAATTCTTAATCTTTATTGGTTCTTCTCGCCTTGCTCAACACGCTGAGTTCAGAACATAATCTCAGCCTTCACTGTATGAATCATGTATTTCAGACATACGCAGTTTACATACAAACAATTCGGATAACATCATACCATAAAATAGAAAATAACAATTATAAAATATCAAGCCAAAAGTGGTTGTGAATGTGAGAAGCTATAACTAATATATTGAGAATAAATTATGAATAATAAATTGTATAATAACAATCAATAGGTCAAATGAAAGCTTATGATCAAAGGAATACTAATATATACATATATATTCTAGTTACTGAATAATTATCCAATACGGATATTTGTAATAATAGTCTGTAAATAAGTCCTAACAGTTACCATTCATTTATTTTTTGTTAAAATATAACACTAGGGAAAAACAATTCACAAATCATCATTAGAATAGGATAAATCAATGACATTTCATATAACATTTTATCCAATCACTTTAGGACAATTATATTTTTGGCATAAAATAATTCCCAAACATATGACATAATAAAACTATTTTCAGTTTCTATTTTGAAGAAACTGTGCTACCTTTAAATATTTGAGAAAGGAATTTCCTCTTCTAAATTTAAAAGCTTTCATGTGAGTTTTTATTTATTTATTTATGGCTTTAAACCTATGTTAGGTTGTTTAAAATGATCAGTTTCAAATTGTCCACGTCTAATTTTTATTGAGATTCCTTTTTTTTACCACACATCAGAGTTATATGATCAGCTATTACGCTACACACAGAACAATAAGCTTTGAGTAGCTAGAAATAAATATTTTCTTTTTTCTAATGTTTTTGTATTTGATCTGATAAATCTATATAGTTATTCAGAACCTAGTAACTGAATACATAATACCAAGTTCAATCTTTACCTAAACTAACGGTTATAATTTAGTTGGCATTTTCATATATAAAGTAACGCTACTTGTGTAGACATAAGTAGTATACATCAGTCAGAAGTGAAATACCTGACAGCCTGACAGGTTGGGAAAATTGTATCAAAGTGACCGAGAATGTAAACCGAGAGTAATCGTAATAACAATGAAGGAACGACAAAGTCTGAATCAAATGATGGAGAGTTTGCAAATGAAGTATTTAATCTACGGTTTTCACAGTTTATGAAAGAACTCTGTAATTTTGTATTAAAGTAAATTGGTTGACACCCTCCCCCAAATGAATGTTCATTCACTACAATACCAATATTAAGATGAATAAATCAAATGTTCATTTTACATCGTTAATAGAATAGCTTATTTTAAAAATAACTCAATGTTTTTCAATGTAAAAGTTATCAGTATTCACTAATATGCCTTAAGTTGACATAAAGTTTCTACAGATGATGCTTATATATACAATGAGCATTTTCATTACTAACGGTGTTTAATAAATAAGACGTTTATGAATGTCCATAAAAACAATGTCTAGACATCTACTGAGGTGGTTATTTTGAGAAATGTCTCGTATAGTTTTAGATAACAGTGTAAACCAGTGTTTTTAATTATTATGTTGTGATGGGGCATTTTTAAAAAATAGAATCTTTGGTCTTATGTGTCAACATAACATGATGAACTGATCAATCACTTCAATATCGTTGTGATATCTGGTTAGAATTATCGACTAAGCATTAAATTGTAATTTAAAAAATTCCTTCCACAGTGCTAAGTAACTTACAGAATTCTAGTGATACTCTTCTTAGGAAACTCGATAAAACATAGAATGACCTAAAATAAAAACGTTAATTCTATTTAAAAATTCATTTTTCGTTAGAGGTTGTTTTGAAATGTTAGCTGATGTAGAAAACTGTTATCCGTAGTTGTTATATTAATTTTAAGAGTTGACTAAATTAAATTGCTAGTTTAGTGAAGTCGTGACATTTTCGATGAAATCATGAACAGTCCAATCCTAGACTTCTATAAAAATCTAGAAGCGATGGACGGCCATTTCATCTTAGTATGGGACTCCTCAGCAGCACAAACCCACGACTACTCACGTAGGGATCGAACTTAGAACCTTTGGCTGCTGTTATGCTGGCTGTCTTGGCTTACATTTGTTGGTGTGTATGGGAGAGAAGAGTTAGGCGATTTGCGAAGTTCAAATTGTCTAGGTGCAACCAAACTGCTCATTGTATTCCGTGCTTTCTCTCAGATGCCGAGGCCTTCATAATCCAGTCGACCACCAGACGAAAGAGAAAGGGCGAGAGTAGGAAGCCTTGTCTGATTCCGGTCCTTACCTGGAAGGCATCTCTCAGCTGTCCTCTATGTACGACTTTGCAGTGTAGTCCGTCGTATGAATTTCGTGTGATTTTGACAGTCTTCCCAGCTACCAACTCCAAAATGTTGAAGAAGCTTCCATAAAGTCCTCCTATCCACACTGTCGAATACTTTCTGATAGTTAAGGAAGTTGATGTATGCTGAAGAGTCCCATTCAATGATTACTCAACGATGATCTTTAGTGTAGTGATTTGGTCTGTACACGATTGATCTTTGCGGAATCTAGCCTGTTGATCTCGAAGCTGGACGTCTACTGAATCTTTCACCCTGATTAACAACACTGTTGAAAATGTTTCCTGATACTGACAGTATTAATTATTATAATTTATTTATTTTAATTTTTTCCATGTTCGGATTTAATAAACTCATTGAATAATTATGAGAGCAAATTAGTTCAAGTATAGGTTTTAATGAAGTCTTGATTGTTCGATTTATAATTTGACTTTAGCTGGTGTTAGAAATGTCTGACTCATTGAATAAATGTGTTTTCTTGCATACTTTTTCGTTGATTCACTAAAATATTTTTTTCTGTTCCATTCCGAACTATATTGGAAACAAATAAATTAAAGGGAAACGCAAAAAAACATTCCCAGTTAAAAATATTTAATTAGTTTGTGTGTAATTGTATCGAAATATATTTACTTATATTTATGAATATAAAGAGTCAGTTACGCGTAGTTGAGACAAAGTTAGGGATCGTTCTCTGTTAATAACCAAAGCCAACTAATTTGAACAAAGATAAACGGAACTGGACGTGAATGAACATTCACTTCTTCTTCCATGACCTTTAAATACTGAGTATTATGTGCTGTACATAATCTTCAAGCCAGGAATAACTAGAGACCTAAATAATGTTTGAACCCCTATCTTCTCGTTTAAGATATTGCCATTTGTATAGTTCAGCAATAGTGAATTGCGCTCACACTATATAAGATATTTTAAGTGTTAGGCCGATTTTTCTCTACAATAATGTGAGGTGAAATTTAAAGAAAAGTGGATTAGTTGTATAATTTGCATCAGGGGCTTCTAAGTAATGGACTTTAGAATTCACTGTTTATATTACAATACCCAACAAACTATAGATAGTTCGAAATTAAACCCCTTTTTTCTAGTAAACAGAAAATATCTCCGCCATTAATATATATCTCATCCAAACCAACTACAAATTAGTAAATTATTCTATGCCTACAACCAGCTGATGGGTTACTGTCATAAAATTTCTATAAAATATTAGAAATTTTGCACTGACAAATTAACCCTACAAGCTATAATATTATTTTCATAAATTTGTAGACAGATTTTAAAATGATTACACAGAAAATATGTCAACATTCATTTCATCTTTATTCGTTGTTTTCCTATAAACCTGGTTCAATTTATCATATGAGCATCTAAATAAATGGATAGAGATTTTAGTGGATATCATCCTAGTGTACTATATTTATGTTGTTATAGAATGTAATTTCAGCTTCCATTTTTCTCTGGGCACAACACATTGAGAAATGAAACCGATTTTGGATCAACAGAATCATATATAGCTACATTTTTAGTAAACTAAAAACTTTAACGGAAGTGATAATTTGTTTTGTATCCAAACATGTCAACAGTATGATATTTTGTATACGTGTTGATTCAGTTTCTTTTCTAGTTATCGAAATCCTGTTTTAATTGTACCCTACCTAGAAAAATGGTAAAGTTTACTAATGAATGAAATTTATGATTTTATTCAGAAGTACAGAATATATTCTTTCTCATATAGTAAATGGTGAACATCACATTTGATTAGAAAAATCTCTCATGGTTTCATGTCAAATACCGAACAATCTATTAATATTAACATGATTAGGCATTTTCTAAATAACTGACGTCATCAGGATTAACTCCTTCCCAAGTATTCAAAAAAAAGCTTTATTCACCATTTCTGTTTATCACGATCTACCTGTGGGTCACCCTGTACATAAGCCATATGTTACGTGCTCTTAACTCCCAACACCCTTCTAAATTTATCTCTGCCCTTCTTTTATTTTGAATTTCGTGTTAACTTTACTAATTTCACGTGAATTTCTTATGATCATTATCATAATTACACGGAAAATATTTCTCTTAATACATATTATATCCTGACGACCTTATTATTGTTATTAACATTACTACAATTATCTCCACCATCGTGATACAGATTATATTCATGTGATTTATCATATTTCACTGATTGCAATTCAACACCATACAGCAAATTTCACTACCCCTTGTTAGAATGACCTTTATAATGAAGGCATGCTGGACATATTAGAGCATTTACATGTCCTAACTCATAACTTATTTATGTATACGTTATTTTGTCCAATGTAATTTGATCATTTTTACTTTAAAAATTGTAAAATCTGTTGATAAATATATGGAGAACATTTGTTCAGTCAAATACTCCTTGTTTTTAAATATAGTAAATTACTTCAAAAGTGAATCAAGATTTGTGCCTGCTTTATTAATTATAAATCCTTCATTAGCAAACAAATCACTCTGTAATTAAAAATCATATCTTTAAAAAGCGTTGTTACCTTAATTAGCTGTTTTCAGAAATTCTAATTGTGTGGCTGTCAAGATTCAGTAGCTAAGGGAATAATGCGATGGCGTTTGAAGTGAACTGTGCTGGGTTCAAATCCCATTTAGAATTTTTTTAAATTAATCAGTTTTTATTTATAATTAGTTGGCAGGAATTTTAAAATTATAAGAAATTTGAATTAACCTCCTAGAATGATTAGTTATGCTTTATCAAGATTTATAAAGACAGAAGGCACCATGGTCTTAATTAACTTCGAAATTGTAAAATTTGTGATTTTGATTCAAATCATGAGTAACAAGTTCATTATATTATTCCAGCATTTATCCAATCTTATTCATTTATGAAAAATGTACTGTGGTACTGCTTCGTTACTAAATAAGGCATATGGAGAGATGTAATTGCACTATGTTGTTGAAGCTACTCACTTTCGTGAAGAAAAGTATTTCTATGCCAAATGTGGAGTTATATTATATCTAATTATTTATTACTAATCCTTTGTAGTTTTAGTGTTACTGGTTTCCTACTTCCAGTAACTGAAGGTATTTCTTGCATAATAACATTATTTTCCTTAAACATGCCAGTTATTTCAAGCACCCATCAAACTTTACGTGGTTTATATCCTTTTCAAAACTCATGAAAAAGTTAATTAACATTTCGCATACTAATAAAGAAAATTCTAGAAAAACAAAACTATGAAAGATTATACTATCTATTTTACCTTTTTAATTAAATCTCAACAAGTTTATAGGTTACTGATGTTTTTGGAGATGGCGAATTATTCCTTCCGTTTATAAGTGAAGTATAATTGGTCAAGTTCTAATCACGATCGAATACATTTTTAGGAAGAATATTTGTTGTGCATCTCTAAGAGCAACTGTAATTATACTTAGACCACATTCGAACTATGTTTAAAAATAAAAATATCATTTTTCTTAGTATATTTTAATAATGGTACTGCAGTTTCGGTTATAACGTTAAGCCTATATACCTTATTCTAGCTTTCGGACAGGTCAATCTATTCATTCTACTTGAGTCATATTTTGACCTTGTTAATTATTCGCTTATCAATCTTGACTGTTTTTATATAAGTGCATAGGTGTGTACACTTCTTATCCTATTCATCACATGTTAGTAGTTTATTTTTGTGTGACGATATTGATTAACACTTGACTAAATGGAGATGGCTCACGAGCCTTCTTCATTGTGCGTCATTTCAATTCGCTCTCTTCTCTTCGCTTCTCTGATATTTTGTTTGGATCAAAGATCGTATGAAATATACGTATTCGAGATCCATTCTCGTATTTGACCTATTTAATTCCGTTATTGACTAACTCGATTTAAGTCGATGATTATATACAAGGATTGACAATATGTATACCTCAATAGCAATCGAAAATGATCTAACTGTAGTCAGATCCCTGGCCACTAAAAGACAATATTTTTTCCATTCTTTTTGTTCCAGGAAAGTTCATGAACATACATTGGTGAAAACTCCTTCAAAATCATGTACAAATAATAATGAATGCATTGGATCACACATGAGTCCCAATAATTCTACAAAAGCCTATAACACTGAAGTGAGTCTTATTAGTTTTAAAATGAGTATGCTATTTAGTTTAATGCCGAATTTTAAGTTAAGTTTCGTCCTTATCACTGATAAAGTATATCACCTGTATTGTGGAATTATTACTTTTTTATGAGTAACTCATATATTACAAAATATCATAGCTTGAAAAGGAAGAAAATTACATTATTTTTATATCAGTATAACATTTTGAGAAGGGATTAACCACAATTCATGAAAACAGGAAATTATATATAGCAGAGAGATTACATTTTTCATTTATATAGTGAGCTTAATAAAAAAAGCTGCGTTATAAGTACATACTGATTCTATTTGTATTTAATGATTGTTTATTTAGTTTATTGAACTAACCAGGATTATCTGGACAGGAATTGGGACAGTTGGTTCAGTAATTACAATATGCAGCATGTTAACTGCTATATTGATATATACAGTATATCCGTAAGTACTAGTGTTACGTAGGTTATATATGTTTATCTCTAATATTACTTACGGATTAAACAAAATTTTGACAAACAATTTTTTTTACAAACTACGTTTGTTAATAATAAAATTTGTCAATAGGGAATTTATGAAGATTGTTCATCTTGAATTAAGTCTTCATCACGGACTGATGTAAGTCGTAGTTTCGGATTTCCTATTAGTTTGAACTCAGGAATTCACATAGGATAGAGATCGATATAGTCAGGTCAAGCTAATGGCACATTTCTATGGAAGAATATTTAATTAATGGAGTTTAATCAGTTATATAGTGAACCGTTCATCATCAATACATTGAAACGATCTCAGTGACTGAAATTTCAAGAAATTCCGACGGCTCACCTAACGAATTTGTCTAGATTCCTTCACGGTGATAGTCGAAATCGGCGTCCAACATATGTCAAACTATTCGTTTAAATATTGATAAATATTTGTATAAATTCATCATCAATGTTCTCCAGTAATATCACGAGATGGGAATGTATGCAACTGAATATCATCTGGTCTCACATTCACCGTGAGACATACATCTTTTGAGTGCTATTCTGAGTTGGATTTTCACAAAACAATAACGAAATAACTCACTCTTCCCATCTGTTTCTTAGTGGCTCTCAAGCTGATGTTTGATTGCGATTAAAAACAATTTAAAATGAACCACTATTTAATCAAATTTACGTTTTAAAATGCCCTCTGAAGATAAAATACTCCGAAATTTATTTACATACGTCTTTGTGGATAAAGCGAAAACTTTCCGGAATGAAATTATTTGTTTTCGTTTGATATTCCTCATAAAATTCATTCGTTTTGTTTTAATTGATGAAACTGACATTACAAGGAAAATAACGCGAAGCTTCAAACGTCGTTAGCTAAGTCATGAAAGCTTCAGGTTGAGTGATCTAAGTGCATCAACTATTACGATAACTGCAAATGGACTAATACTATGTTTGAAAATATAAATCAAATATTTCTACTTAGACACTAGGAATACAACTTCAGGGAAGAAATATTTCTTTGTCATTTGCTCATCATCAAGGCAGAACAAAATATATTTGAAGCACTAAAATAAAGATTACTAGGTATAATTATCGTCTTACCTGAATCCATTAAAAATTGTCCGATATGGCTGCACTGTTACTTAACTAGTTAAGTAGTAGTACCAAATACGGGATATGCTTCTCAACCTACTTGGAACGCATCAACAACAAAAACATACTAACCCTTACGGATTAGTTCATCCCCTCTGGCTCTCTGAACTCAATGCCTCAATCGATAATACATCAGAATTTAAAGTGATGGGGAATGGATTCAAGTCTCAGCTCAAGCACCAACACTGATGGAGTTATATCCAACTGACTAGTCCTAAATAAGATTAAATGCGCTTTCTGAATTCCTGTCTTAGCCAATGGATACAATTTACTGCAAATTTTTACTGTTAAATCATACACAATCGAAACTTCAAAATATCATGATAAATTTGTTCACTTTTAAAATCTGATAAATTTATTACATTTATGCATCCCACTTTCAATAGCTTTATCTTTGAATTTAAAAGTAGATAACCTTGGAGCAGAAAATTTTATTATTTCTTCATACCTCATGATTATCCGTAGTAATTATCCACCAGTAAAATCTTTTGTCATCATCACTGATATAAGTATCTTTCACAAGTATCAAAAACGATAAACATTGGAAGAAACTTCAGTCTGATGCCTAACTTTACATCCAAACGCCTAGACATATTTCGATTCAGAAACCTAAGATACTATGGTATCTCTTAGAAAATACCCCCATCTGTGGTCATCATATTGTAGTAGACGCTACTCACAAGATTGTTTGTAAGTAGCATGTAACGGAATGTGACGTTGGAGTTACAGTATTTGTCAGACAGAGTAAAGAGTTTAAGTGCATCGAAAGCATGGCGTTGACAGAAAGCTTGGAGGTTAATGGAGAAGACAATTTAGACTGCAGAACATACCGGGAAATGCCAATGAACGACTGGAAGGCTTTGTATATATATTATGTAAATACCTTACTTGTTATCACGTTTCGCTCTATGACTAGATTCAATGTATTACAACGATAAATAAGTCATTATTGTTTTTTCAATCCTTCACAGTCGATGCAGTTTTCATCCTTGTGAATTTAAAGGAACATAATATCTAGTACTACTTTGAAATATCTGACTCAATGAACAGAAATTCAAGAATACAGGCCCAAGCACACTGTTATCGCATCATACTAAAAAATTTAGGATTCAAAAGGATTTCCTTAATGAAAAATTGTCATAAAATGCAGCGAGACCATAATCTATGGACGGACCGGTCGAATTTAAGATAACAGGTCTCGATTTTTAGCGCGAAATTCGTACACTCATTTGGCTAAATACTTTAAAGCTGATGTCAGTTCGTGATGAAAACCCAAATTTAGTTCTTAACTATCAACTGTAAATGATAATCACAATTCCTCACTGATTTATAACACTCATTTAGTCCTAGTTAGTAGATGAACGTTCTCAAGGTCATCTTACCGTTGCTCAAAGGTCGTCCATAAATTATAGTCTCACTGAAAAAGCTGTTAGTTTTCTTAACTGAACTAATTTTCAAGTAAAATGTTAATTTACTTGTTATTTTCAGATGTTTACGAAATTTCAGATTTAGAATACATCTTCATTTATTCTTCGCATTACTACTGGAATCTATTGCACAGCTTATATTGTCTTATCTTTTGTTAAGTAAAGTTAATCAAATAAATCTGAATAATGTTGAAAATGAAACAATACATCAACCATTTTCAAGTTCAAAAGAGATGATATACAGTTCCAATTCACAATCAGTATGTATTTACAATATCTTGTTAGATTTTATCATAAATAATCACTTCAAGTTTGTAAATGAATATGTATTACTACTTAAAAACACTTTACTAATATATATATTGACTAGTTTTACAATCAATTTCAAGCTTTAATGATGTTATTACCGGCAGTTGGATGATGGTAAGAGTTTTTCTCATTGAGAAATCAAGATAGATTTATTAAGTCACACAATGCAATAATTTATCAAGTGTAATAGTATACTTGTAAATATAAAAGTGAAGTACATTGCAGTCTATATTATCGACCTAACCAAAAATTATACACCCACTAATATTCGATGGGTCATTATGATTGTATGTAAATATGCAGGTTCACGTTCATAAAGTAACTTATCAGAATATCTCTGAATATGGTTCATTACGTTATCCTGATGATTAACTATTTGATCAACTATCATTTTGGTTATAATGTGACTACTGCATAAAACTATTGATACGTTACTTTAAGGGCAAAATTTTAGACTACTGTCTACATTGTTTGTCTTATTTACTGGTAGAATGTAAGCCAGTATATTTACTGACCGATCTAGAGATATCGCCAGTTGGCGATATGAAACTTAGATCAAAAGTTAAACGATTGTCAATAATCATATTCGTCTCACAAATCCATTCATTCAGTCTCAAATATATACTTATTTTCCAAAATAATATTCAATAACATGTCTGTTAATAATGATAGTAACAATAATGTTAATAATAACAGGTTTGCTAATAATGATAACAGAAAAAAGTAAAATAAAAAAGACACAGAGAGTATGTCTTTCCGACTGTACAACTTTGAAGATGAGTCCACTGAAAAGAGAATTGTTCGTACAAAACGATTTGTTATACATCTAAAAAAGAACAGAATTAAGTAAACACATTGAAGTAGATTATATCAGCTAATAAAGCAAATGATAAGCAATTATCAAGTAGATCACATATTTATCACGACTGAACATCAATGTATAACTTATGAGACTAAATCTTGTATTCAAAAGGGATTTGTATAACTATAACTTTCTCAGACATAATATTCAATGAAGAAGAGTAATTTACACATAACCTAAGATAATCTTTTTCAATTTTAGACATCAATACTAATGTAGAGCCATGATGTCTTGAATTTAATTCCAAATGAAATAGTCCTGTTTATAGGGATAAGGCTAATACTACAATTAGTACTTGGTGTGAATGAATGGTTGCAACTATCTGATAAAAAGCTGTTTATGTAAATAAGTTTAGTTCGAGTACGTGCTTGAATTCTATTTCTTAGGATAAATTTCATTCTCAACATCTTTTTAGCCTAAAAGAGTAAATTCCTGTCTCTTTAGGTATCCTAATAAGATCACTGATATTGATTGGAAATATAAAATATACAATTACATAACAAAAGGAAATAACTGTAATACTTCTGATCGTATGGCTCTGATCCGTTGCTGTACACTACAACAAATGGAATCCGATTGAACTAAATAAATTAAGTTTCAGTAATATGAATATGCTAACTTTATTGACAAAATCAAAACGTCTATCCGTATTTATAGAAAAAAATCACTACCCACGTGACAACACAATAATATATTGAATATTTGTGAGCCGCAACTAATGACATTTTAAATAAAAGACGATAAACTAGTTTTGCTAACCCCATCAACCTACATTATACATTTATCGAAAATAAGGAAACATCGGATAGCCGTTTCACTGTAGTATAGGGCTCCTCGGAGACAAACACTCGCAATATTTCTATTGGGAATCGAACTCAAGACCAAAGGTCTTGAGTGTGAGCGCCTAACTCGTAGACTACGGGGCTGAAATCCAGTGGTGCATATGTCTAATCTTAATCAATTTATAAAATTGCGTGATAATCCTTAAGGGTCTACAGCTCACTTCTCTTTGAGTGGATTGTGGGTGAACACGTCGGATGGGCCACATTCTATGGAGAAACAGCTGCTCAGTATTTCTCGGTTTTTAATAGATGTATAACATTGTGATATTCATAAAACTCAACAACCTCCACAAATTTCTACACTGATACTCCTTGTTTGTACTGACTTTTCTGTCTTTTTTAACAAGTGAATGCTAAATGAAAGTCTTTATATGTGAATTGATTAATTGCTACTTGTATTTAAAACAATTATTATAATTACGATTGTTACTGCTATTATTATTTCTGTTAACGAACATCAGATTAGGAAAACACATGAAAATGGTCCTGATCTCTTTAAAAGACATCAAACTTTAGCTAATAATAATTATTACAGTAATAATTAAAACTTGAACATTATCTTTCCCTATCTTTAATATGCAGACTTGAATCTAATGTTTTCCTGTTTGATGATCATAAATAACCACCATTATTAGTTAAAAAGATTCAAATCTTTGTAATTTAAATCCAAGTGTGTATCAAACAAGGGTGTTCAGTTATATCACAAAGCTAAGTGATGCTTAAGTTTATTTTTCTGAAAATGAATAATAGTTTGTTGTTTTTTTCAACATGTAAGGACACAAACTGAAACAATTAAAAACAACGAGTAATAACTAAACTGTTAAGTCACTCTAGTTCATCCCACTCTAATTGACTAAACTGATAGTTATGTACATCTATTCAAACTTGACAATCTTTGATCTATCTATACAATGATTACAATACCTTTTAGATCGTTAATATTGAGAGCCTTAGAGAAATGTAGTTAGTATAATAATGATAAATAACTTTCAAGTAATTTACATAATCTTATAGTTTATTTTGAGATATACTTTGTATTACTGTCAAAACTCTAAGGTTTTATTTCAGAAAAGATTCATATATAGAAATTGCAACTATTTCTAATGATTTTTAATGATACAGTTTATTAAACTGAATTCATATACTTTGAATGATACACATTTCAAATGAATTAAATTATTCATATTAAGAAACTATGTTGTCAACTAGAACAAATCAAGTATTGTAACACACCAAGTGAAAGAATATCTCTTGTTTATTCACAATGTGATTTAGTTTCAATCTGAAATTTCTTATTACTCTATTCATGCAAAACTAAATTATATAGTAATATTGTTATCACGAGTAGCATTACCAGCTAAATCTAAAACTTCCGCAGCCAGATATTCAAGAATCGCAGCTAGATAGACTGGAGCACCAGCACCAACTCGTTCAGCGTAATTTCCCTTGCGTAGAAGACGATGTACACGGCCAACAGGGAATTGGAGACCAGCACGGGCCGACTTTGTTTTAGCCTTACTACGAACTTTTCCACCTTTATCGCGTCCACTTATTACTTTATCTGCATCAATTTGGAAGACTCTCCCGGTCTCCCACACTGTACGAGTATTCCATGCTCTGGTTGTCAGAAGGGGCATCGGCCTCGTGACCTCCGAAGGAATTCGACTTTCATCATGAGGCGTCATAACTCTTCTAAATGAAGACCTTCTGACCCCCAGGGTAGAGTTTGAGGGGTTTTAATAATTTTTTTCTGGTTAGCGTTTTTTTTAGAGAGATAGTTTTCTACAGGATGGGGTCGCTAACCACATGCCCAACCCCCCTCCTTTATCCAGGCTTGGGACCGGCAGTAGCCCCCGGAGGGACTCCAAGAGGAGTTATACAGTAATACTAATTAAACACAAATTAATATAGAAGATAAATAAATATGATTTTATATAACTTACTCAATAATAGGTGTATATGTGTATGCAGAAATCTATAGAAACACATTAATCTACATTTAATTACTACCTACTCATAAAAATAAATACCATATTGCTTAGCTGTTTGAGTTCATCAAACTGTAATGTAGTTACTAGTTTCAATGATTTTATCCGATATTCGTTAGTTGAAAGTAAAAACCAGTAAGGAATGTTTATTGTAGCATTCATCAGTTGAACATTTTTCAACTACATTCTATCAAAAATATCATTCAAGTCTATGACATAGACTAAGATTACTTACTTATTGATGCCTAATATTTCTTCAATTAAAATCAAAAACTGACTATTTATAAACTTTATAGTGTAGTGAACAAGAACATGAGTGTGGACAATCGAACCCATTTAACACAAAATTACAGGACTTGCTAATAAAATCTAGCAATCATAAAGTAAATGCTTACTTTGCAAAATGTCCACCAATTGTCTCAAGATGACTTAGACTTCATTGTTCTTGCATCTTCATACGAATCGCATCCTGTTTCCATTCTTTACTGTTCGATCCTCTTGTATCTCTGCTGCCAGACTTTCTGTTCACGACTAACGTCATATGCTACTTATGTCAATATAAGTAGCACACACCACAATAGTAATTCCGACTTATTTTTTCAAACTAAAATGCTTGAATTACGTAAAATCTATTCTTTACGTTTTCAACAGTTTTATTCAGATTTACTTTGATTTTATAATAATCATTCCTTATTTAATATTTTTCATAATTATAATATTTAGAAGGATAATTCTTCATATCATACACTGTATAATGTTCTACTAATTTTAACTTTTGATTATTTTTTTGAAGTAGTTGTAGATTCAATTCAATAGTGAGTGATATTTAAGCAACAGAAATATCTTCTATCTAACAGGAATTTGGAAATGATCTTCAAAGAATAGATAAACGATGAATGACTTCAAAGATTATAAAGTCCTTGTGTTTTGTAATTTTATTGAAAAAAATTAAGAATATGTAAGATATACACTTTCTGTATGCAATTTACTATAGATGTGTAGTTTATTCAAGACAAATTGTATGTCTCTACATAAAACAACGATTGATGAGTACTTATTATATTTATTGTAGACATATATAATTATACAGAATACTATGATAATTATATGGGAATTATGTCAAACTTGTGTTTTCACATGGACATTTATCGAAGGAATTCATATACACGAATTAATTGTCGTTTCAGTATTTCAACCGTCAGTGAATATGTATCCTTTGATGATTGCAGCATGGGGTAAGTAATGTAATTGGTTTCTTTAGTAATACACAAAATTACTTGATGAGATTATAATATGTTGAATAAATCAAAACAGCGCTTACATGTCCGAAAAAAGGTATCGATTGTCTTTTTACAAGAACACAAATCATATTCCCATCTCTTAAAAGACACTTATCTGTAGAAAAATTTGGATGTTTTGCAATGAGTTTTCCTCTTAATAAAGCACATGATAATTTGTAGGCATTCACAGTTTTCTCAGTGTGAACAATAAAAAAAGATTGACATTTTTGATGTTATGTAACACAAAATATAATTACTCTTTTGTTTACCGATTGAAGTTTATAACAAGGAATTTGTATCTTTATAATCTTCTGGTCTAAATACCTGTAGTTTATTATAATACATATTGAAGTATCACTAAATATATTGTAAGAAAAATACGACTTCTGCTATTTAGTTGGTCAGTGGTATCCTGAAAACACTTTTTTACACTAGTAGAAAATGAATTATTCAGTAGTTTATTCGTACCAGTATCACAGACGTACTTCATTATAGGATGTATTTTATGACAACAGCATATGTATGAACATATGAAGCGTGTGGGTTAGAAACTGATTGATTAAAATCAAACAGGTTTTTGCATATTTAGAACTTTCTAATTTTGCTTTTTAAGAAATGACAAACTGAATGCTTCCACGCAGTTATCATTCCGTTCCCTATTATACTCCTTTTCCATTTCAATAAATGCAAAATCATCTTGTTTAATTCCACACATCTAATCCTATTGATAAATCTGAACGAAACAAAACACAAGATACATATAATAAGATAGTTAAATACTATCTAAATGACTCTCATCAACTTCAAACATTTCAAAGCTACCAAGAATAATATTACGGGAAACAAAATCTTGATATAGTTTAGTTACTGAAATTCAGACGTTGGTTTCTATTCGGATTATTGGAATTACATACAACTGACGATATAAGAGTGGAATAAAAAGCTGATGGGATTTATTACGTGACTACTGTTCAAAATATATTGTTTAATGGGCTTGAAGTAAACGTAAACACCTATATTGATACTTTCTGGCAGATGAAAACACTACAAATTTTTTGACTGAAAGCTGAAATAATATTTTTATATATCATCCAACTTGGAGGTGACTCTAATAAATTCTTTTATAAATACACATAACGACTGGTTTCTAGACATTTAACTATTTTTCTGTTCCTTCTTACAGTTGTACCTATTTTCATAACAGGACTGTGGCTAAGTGCATGGCTATATACAAATAAAATGGACGTGTAAGTTCAGTATTACTTAAATCAGTAATAAATTCTAAGCTTCTCTGGATTTTAATGTATTTTCGGAACAAGCTTAATACCGACTTAACAATTGTAGTTGATTTTACCTAAATAAGTCTTGACAATAACAAATATATTACCATCTATCCATTGGTTAACTTATTACTAATTCATATTATGAACATGATATACAAAAGTCCATGCGGTTAGTTATCTAATTCTCTGAAATTCACCATACTATGAAGTTTTTTATATCTCTTTCATTTCAGTGGTAGATAAATATGTTATACTACAGTGGTGTTATGGAAATCCTGTATTATTTAAAGCTAGTTTTAGTCGCAACCTGAAACAACATGAAGCACCACTAAAAAGCCGAAAGCAGTTGACCAAAATTTCGATGCATTTTAGGGATGCTCAACAGAACTGGTTTAAGAAACCAGAAATAACATTTTGCTGGACTCTCATATATAGCAATAAGAGACATAACATGCACTGACTTAATTGCAATTCAATGGTACACACTATTAGTTTAAGTCACTTCCTATGTGCCATTCTAAAACATTTTGATAATTCTGAATGAAGCACATCCCTGATACAACTATATCATTTCTAGTTAGAAATATGTTAGCGGAAAATTAGTCTCATATATTTGATACAATGGTTTCTCACAAATGACTGAACGTGTCTTATTATTAAGACTAATGTATTTGGGCGTACTTGAAGCCCTGTATTAATTAAATTTACTCACTGTCTATATATTTTTTACCCATAGAATGATATCAATTGATTCCTTAAAGATGAACATTTTAATTTTGACATCCCAATTAATAAGCAAAATAGAAAATGATTAATTATGCACATTATGGCATTGTTTCATACAATCAGATAATATACTGCATTAAATCTGGGAATAAATATTTACGTCATATGCAATCTAAGACGGATGTTCAAACTTTAGTAGCAAAGTAGAAGTAAATATTAAATAGAAAACTTCAAATTGATAGCTTCATCCTCAATATCTCGTACACAAATGAAAAACTGGAATTTGTCGATGTTGACAATTCGATATTTCAATGGTTAAGATCATGAGTCAGTTGAAGCTCAACCACTATGGAAAACCTGGAAGCACTGGACGGCCATTTCGATATTTCACTATTGATTCCGTGAATACAAATAAAACCTACTTTTTATTGGATGGATTCAAAAATTTAACTAAACTACAAATTTGACCATATATCCGATCACACATATAAAATAGAACAGTGTTACAAGTCACAATTATACACAATAAACTGGAATTCTAGAGTTGTAGTAATTATTCTTTTCATCGAGAACTAAGCTAATGTTTTCAAATACTGATTAGCTAATTTGCCTAAAAGTTACAGTAAAATGCACTTCATAAAATTTCCGATCATACGAGTTGAATATTTCCCTTATTCGATATACTCAAATTAGTATATTGAAAAAAAAACTTTATTTAAGCTTCTATTCGCAATTTCATTTAATAAAATATAATAAACAAACTGTACTGCCGTTTTCTTCATATTTATTTCGCTTATCAAGAAGCTGGTCATTTTATACATTTCATTCAACTTACTGGATTTTGAATAGTTTCAGATTAATTTTACTATCGGTAAGCTATTTTTCATATTCATCCTTGGTTAAGATACTGAATTAATTGTTTTGACAGTAATTATTCAGATATAACATACCTACTTTATAATTTATTATGCTCTTGATATATAGACCGAAATAAATTAAAAACCATGCCAAGAACCAAGAATTCGATTAAAATATTAGATTACTTTCATTTGAAAAGGAACCCTTTATAATAAGCAATAATCATTAGCATAACTAAACAATCAACAGTCAGATAAGTTTAAACAAAACAACAATAATAATATTTAAAGAATATGATCAAGTGATTTTCTTTTAAGGACTCTGTTCATTTACAAGCAACCCAAACGTATAAAGGATCATATTATTAGAAACAAGGGATTGACATGCGTTAGTTAATGAGTTTAAGACGCCTCGTTTCGAAAACCAAATTGCCCAGTTACACTACAAATCTTTTTTGAAACTCAACTGACCATAATATCCAAAAGAACAAAATAATGTTTTTAGAAATTCCTTCTTTTAAACTATTCTTTTCGAATGACGCAGATAAACCTTTAATGCATTAAAGCATAAATAACCGCGATTATTCCTTCTAATATCTGTGACGTACAATTCATTTATCTATTCAAGTTATTTATTTATTTCCTTATGCACATGAGATTTTTCCTTATTTGACAAAAATTTACTAGACGAATATGGCTTTCCTTTTCAATGTAATCCGAGTTCTTGTTCGAAGACTTCAGACAAACTATGCACCGGAAATTCTGAAATTAAAGTATGTGTTCACTTTCAATTAGCTATTTAATTACGACAAATGTTTTATTTACAAAAGTCAATATCAATAAAATACCCTGAGTAAAATGGTGATATTCTAGTTAAAGATAAAACTTAAGATTTCATAGAGATTACTTCATGTCTGTTTATTACATCACATTCAGGTTTGTACGATTTGTGTCACGGAAGAACCCATGTTTTTAGAACTACAGGTTTCTTTATCATATAAACAGTATGCAGAATCATATTAGTAGCGGTTGCAGAATAAACCTATTTGTAAAATTGCTGACAATGAGTAAGATCATTCTCAGTAGTGAGATTCATTTAAATTCCATTTTTTGTTGATTCAAATAGTTAATTAACGTGATCAATAAGCAAGCGGACGATTTTCACAAGACTAAAAGCCCGTAAAATAAAAACGATTCACAGACCTTTATACACTCATGCAGAAATTACTGCTAAGTACTAATAGCAATAAGAGAGCACTGCAGTAAAGGTACTGGAAAGTCGTGCTTTCTACTGTCGGAGACTTGAGCTAGTACACCATTTCAATCCATAAGTTTGTCAATTACAGATCAATAACCAAACTGTACGATTACAGACAGGTGCCGCTTCTGATATCACCATCAAATTACACGGAATATGGAAATCATAAGAACACATAATGTAACCAACTTAGCAGGAAAAAACAAGTTCTTTCAGAGGTAACCTACTATTAACAGAATGATTTCAGTTCAGTATCTTTTAAAGACATTACTTTCACAGAAACATCCCGCGTCGCTGTTTCTGATCCAAGCTTTCTACGTTTAGACTGGTTTAGCAATCTTCATTCAGTAGATATGGCTCTTATCGCCGTATGTAGCAAAGTTTGATCAGCTATGTTTACGGCACAAGAACCAGATAAGCTCGATAATCAAATGATAACGAAGAAGTATCTTAATTTGCGTGAATGATGCAGTTACAAGCTGTAGACTGGAGAAAACGTGATTTCTACAAAATCTGGAGAATATGTAAAAAAACCAAAAGTATCACCATCTTAGCGATATTATCAAACAAAGGTGCTACATTGCTTCGTGGTATTAAAATATCGAATTTTCAAATACAGATTATTAGGAAGAAGTCAAGTGAAAATAATGCACTTTTTTAATTTGATTTCGTTCATTTGACTCTAGCATTTATTCAGTGTAGCTAACAGACATTATAATATTTGCTTGACTTAATAGGATACAAAGTGGAAGTTAGTAAGAAAACTAGTAATACAATAATATCCAAATCCTTATCAAAACTTATGTAAATTAACGACGTCACAGTTATCAACACTGTCTAGAATAACGAAAAGACGAGTAAATATTTTGTTTGAAATTATCAGAAATTAACAGTTAATCGTAGTCTTAGTCCTACATTTAACCCAGTAGATAATTAAGAACATCGTGTAAATTGACAAGACTTTATTGATACAAAGACGAATTGAAGTAGAAAAAATCATACAGAAAAATCGTTGATTTTATACATTATATGCGTTCATCCAAATCTATTCAAGGAGATCAGGATGAGATATCAATCGACTTGACTTTTATGCATCACAATAAGACCACTGAAAGATTGCTTAAAAAATAAAAATGTAAACATTTGATTAAAAGACAGTTTTTTTAATTCAGAAATAGTCCTATTTCAACAAGTTACGAATATTTGTTTTTTTCCTTTTAGAAAGGCTGTAAAAGCTGCTATCCTTTTAATGCCGTTATTAGGAATTACTAATTTTATTGTACTTTTACCAGAACCTAAACATCCTTTGGGATTTTTTATTGTTTCTGGAATACGCCGAGTGCTGCCAACATGGCAAGGATTTATTATATCTATGATATATTATTTTATGAATAAAGATGTAAGTTTTATATTGTTTAAGATAGCAACCAACTTGAATTTCATTTCTCATCATGATGACAAACCCAGTGTATATTCTTTGGAAACGACTTGACTACTAAATACATACGTAATATTTATGGTATAGACTGTTTAGAAGTTAGACACAATGGTCATTACTTTGAAGTACCAATGACCTCATTTCATGAATATTCGTGTGATCACACCTTTTAAATAAGCTGGTACTAGTTTAAGTGAAATATTATTCGAACAATTCTACAATTTCAATAGTCGAGATCATGAGTCAATTGAAGCTAGACCACCGTGGGAGACGTGGAAGCACTGGACGGCCATTTCGTCCCATTGTGGGACTCCTAAGCAGTGCGCATCCACGATCCCGCTTCGTGAGATTCCAATTCTTATGATACTGATTCTATAATTCATTAACGGTTGTTGTAAAGAATCCAATAAGCCGATTGCTAATAATTCATTTCATAATGACTCATCGATTTCTTATTTAATATAGTTTCATAAATGGAATTTTCATAAAATATCCAATGTAAAACTTTGAAAAAATGACTTGTATGTCTCAAGAAAACACCAGAACTCTTGTTATAATATTTCAATATATTTTGATGTTTCGTGAACTTCTTTGTCACATATTCGTAAGTTGAGAAACCTGATCAAGTTCTACAGTTAGAAAGTGTAGGAAACTTTATTTACAACAATTAAAAATTTTATTTTCAAGTGCTTATTTGAAATAATAAAAAGTCAGTCAACTTTAAAATTTGATCAGGACCCCATGTAAGGGACAAAACATTAAAGATGACATTAAAGAACAATTTGAAGTTGCTTTTATTTTATAACTCCTGTTACAACAAACGTTTACTCAGAAACAGTATTTTTCACTATCCAAAGTTAACTTTTATATATAAACTATATAAATGTCAAATGTGAGGAAATGTAAACATCTTTTTACTCAGAAACAGTTATTGTCCAAACAGATTCGACATAATTACAAAGCTTTTGAATTATAATATCATAATGACGAAACGACATTACATAGGATTATATTACCATACGCTTTAGAACTGATGAATTGGATATTCATATATATAACATATGGCTTATTTCGGTTTTCTAAAGGAAGCCTACAAATAGCCTTTCATATAACAACATGTTAGCATAACGAAAAATAAAATATGGACCCTTTTATTTAAGTATTGAAATAAAATAAAAATTACATATTAGTTGTTTACAACGATGTAAATCGTGTGAAAAGAATGCACTTTAAGTTACAAATTCTTCTTAATTTAAATATAATTAAACACTGGTAGTTAACCTTTAAAATTATCAGCGTATAACGACTAATGATCATGTGATATTTATTTATCTGCCGTTAATAATTATAAAAAAATGTAATTATGTAGTGATTAACCTCAATCATTCTATATTCATCAACAACTATTTTCATAATCATTTCTGGAAATAATTTGACAAATTCTCCATTAATTAATAACTTAAAAATGAAATCACCAACAGATTATTATAATTTAGTTTTGAACATAATTGAAAAGTATATCATATAAAAGATTAGTAAAGATTTGAAGTAATAGATTATTGTGGTGAAATGGTCCCCCAAATGCACTGGTACATCCAAGGGTGGGGAGAATCCGCTCTCCCTATCGAAATGCTCTCACATGGCCACATGTATACAGTCACTGACAGAGAAGTCCTGCTCATCGCCTTCTCGTGGCAGGGTTTTGTTTACGAAATTGAGAGGACGAAAAAAGAAGGTTCGGCGATTTAACCAGGTTGGTGGATATGGAGGATCCACCTAGGGGAGTCGGAAAACCCTGATTACAAACCAGTTATGCACACGGGCTCCAGGATCCTGAAGGTACCAATGGCGTATGAACCAATCGTTGGTCACCGGCTACCATCAGACTGCATCTCCTGACGTTGCTCCACTGCCTTGTGGATCAGACCCTTGGATTGAAGGCTCCGGGCAGTATCACAGTCCACACACAAATCAAGTGACTTGTGTGGCGCATATGTATTCGGTGCCCATTTGTACCAATATTTATGTGTTCATATAAACAAATAAGTGGTGAAATTATGAACTGAGCCATAAAATGTTACATCCAGATATTTGATAAGACAATGAACCGACACAAATATGCTACTAATAAAAAGGCTGATACTCCACTTACATGTATTCGTATTGTATATTAACATTTAATTGAAAATCTGGTTGTTCAGATTTCCGAATTGTTATACTCATCATGTGGATTCATGAGATAAATATATTGAACTTTATTTGGAAATATAAATTTATTCTCACAAATGAGAATAGAATATTTTTGTTTCAATATTTACTGATTTCAAAACCGTTTATAATGCTACGAATATAGTGACAAATCCTGTTACAATAAAAAATCAACTTAATTAAGATATCAAAATTAAAAGCTGTGGATAGCTAAAGCTTCCGCAATATAAATGATAGAACGAAAATTCACATGACAACTAATTAAATTCGAACAGACATTAAATTATTCGTGGATCCATATATGCCACAAATATATACGGTTGTACAACTTTGAAAATGAACACGTTGGAAACAATTCCTTCACTGAAGAAATTGTCTCATGATTTATTCAGTATATTTAAATAGATTAAATGAGGGAGATATGAAAGGATTAAATGATAAAACCAAGGAGCTAGTAGAAAATTGGGTAGACCAGGAATAGAAGAGAACCATACACTGAGGTTTCAGAATAGTGAGACAAGTGGATGGTGCACTTTGAAGAGCACTTGGACAGACAAGTCCCACTGAACCCACCGGACATCGAAGCAGCACACATAGACATTTTCATAGATGTCACCTCATAAATAATAGGAGAAATTAGCAAGGTCATCAGACAAATCAATATTTTCAAAGGAGCAGGACAAGATAGAATACCAACTAAAGTACTAAAGCCAGACATGGAAGTAACTGTAAAAAGTTCATTGTGCTCATTAGAAAGGTTTGTAACGGAGAATAAAAACTAACTGACTGGAGAGAGAGACATCTAATAAACATATTAAATAGAGGAAATTTTAGTAAATGTGAGAACCACAGAGACATTATACTACTGTCAGTACCAAGTTGTTTCCAAGATTGTTGCTGAACCGAACGAAAGATTCAGCTGCCGTTCAAATTTAAGATCAGAAAGCTGAAATTTATAGGAATTGATCACGGACCGAATCGCAACACTGAGGATTATTAGTAAACAAATAATTGAATGGAACTCATAGTTAAAAAATCAACTTCCTTGATTATATAAAAGCTTTCAGAAATGTGGATAGGAAAAACTAGTGGAGTCTTTCTCGTTCCTAAAGAGTACCTGAGACGGCTATCATTATAATACAGGACTTTTAGAATGGATAGGATTCCAGTGTCGTGCATAGAAGGTAGCTCATAGAATACCAGTTCCAGACAAAGTTGCTTACTCCCGACTTTTCTCTTGCTTCTGGTAGTCGACTAGATTTTCAAGACCTCCACACCTTGGGAAAAAAGCTGATCTTAGTGAATAACATAGTGGCAGCTGGGTGGAATGAACATTGCAGATTAGTAAGACCTACAATAACACATACGAAAACAAATATATATAAAGCAGGCAGTCTAACAACGGCTGCAGTGAGAGAAAGCCTCAGAATTCACAAAGGAAAGAGTAAGGTGGTATACTACAGCACAGACACCACCGAACAAATCACACTTAATGGCCAAGCTCAGTACGACATGGAGCTCTTAACCAACAAATACAGCATGAACAAGCATGGGAGGTTTGATATAAATAGTAAGATATCAGTTGGAAAAATTAAGGACGAGATCCCTAAAATAAAAACATATGAGACTCAAAGAAACTGTCACTCAAGAATAAAATCAGAATTTTCAACACTTATGTTAAAATAATCCTGTCACAAGGAGCTGAAACTTGGATAACTACTACTAGTATTTATAAAAATCTGTCTACCTAAGATACACCAGATCCATTGGTCAGAGACCACCAACAATAACCTACTCTGACAGAGAACAAGCCAGCTACCAGTTGAGGAAGAAATTAGGAAAACATAGTGGAGATGAATAGGACATGCTGAGGAAGTCACTAAACTGGATCAAAAGGCAAGCCCTGAATTGAAATTTCCAATGCTAAAGGAAGAGGCATATCAAAGAACACATGGATCCGGGAATCGGAGGCAGACATCGAGAATATGGGAACAACTTAGCAACAACTGAAAAGGATCACAAAACAGAGATACTTGGAGCTCTGTGGTTAACAAACTACCTCAAGAGAGGTAGTGAGTTCCAGTAACTAAGTAAGAACGTTTGAAGTGTGGTCAACGATTTAAGTTATCTGGTACACTGAAACATTATTATTGGAGTTCAACGCATTTATACAGATATTTTGCTTGAAAGTTTCTGTATTATCGGTAAAAATGCCACATTTGGATTTAACATTTGAAATTATATAGAAGCTGCTACCTTGACGCGGTGGTCGGTCTTGCCTATCGTCATGACCTAACCGAGGTATATTGGCTGGAACATATGTTCCTGTAGGTTCTACCATGCCAGACAGGTCGATTGGAGAACGGTAAGACCAAAAGCAGCAACTCAAGGTCTGAGAGCGAAGTTGTACTGCTGACTGTAGAGGGGTGTGACAGCAGTAAAGTGTTTCCCTCGGAAAACCAGCATCTGCAGCGATGCTGCCTTCCCACAAGGAGGGGTGGGGTTAGAAAAGGTCGACCTTAAAAATGTCACACCTCACCTTAACTCACGGATTCCCGTCTCCGGGGGTAAGGCCCTTTGAAGAACGGAGCTAACACATTAAATACCTTCCACGAGAAGGCCGTGCGCGACCGGCCTCAAGCGGTTGTCCCTTGGGCTCTGCGGTCACGCTCCCAGGTCGTTAAGACCAACACTAATCCGACTTCCTTTTCAGGTTCCTCAAGAAATACCCTCCCACGGTGTGGGCAGCCGGGAAGTGATATCAGCACTCCTAATACCTCTCTTATCTCCATGACTAACCCTCCTCACGTCTGTTTATCACCTCGCACCGCTAGGGCAAACGATTCGAGTACGCTGAACGCTATTCCTGGTCTCCTGAAACCACGCTCTAAACTACACGTAGGAGCTTTCAACGTCCGAACACTGTGTCAAATAGGACAGCAGGCTTCCTTAGCTAGGACTTTAGAATCTCGCGCCATCGATGTGTGCTGAGTCTCCAAAACGCGCATACAGGATCCGAGTATTGTCATTCATTTGACCTCACCATGTCAAAATAAAGAACCGACTCGATTTATGCTTCGTGTATCTGGAAGCCCTGATTCTGCTTCCCGTGGCCTCGCCGGCGTAGGCATAGCATTGAGTCTTAGGGCAGAACCATCTCTCCTAGAGTGGATCCCAGTAGACAGTCGTTTGTGCGCTGTCCGACTGAACGGAACAATAAGAATCCGGAAAGATAGGGACACTCGTCGTTGCCTCTTCGTCAAATCTGCCTATTCTCCCACTGACTGCAGCGCAGATGATGTAAAAGATGAGTTTTACAGAAAGCTCTCAGACCTCCTCCTTAAAGCTAGGCGTTCGGATGTAGTAATAGTGTCCGGTGACTTTAATGCTCAAGTAGGTAAACTTAGCGATAGGGAAAGACACCTAGGTGGATCTTAAAACATCGTGGCTCAAAGAACAGATAATGGCGACCGTCAGTTGCAGCTATGTTCAGATAACTGCCTGTTCCTTGCAAATACTAACTTTAAGCATAAGGAAAAACATCTTTTAACATGGAGACCCCCCAATTCGTCCCAACGTTGGACCCAAATAGATCACATCGCTATCAGCCATCGATGGAGGGGCTCGATAGAAGACTGTCGCTCATTCTGGATCACGTGCTTAGATCCAGATCGTGCTCTAGTGAGAGCGCGTATTTGTCTGCATCTTACTGGACGCAGGAAAGACGCTGCAAGGAAACCTCTTGGGGGCCTACCTAATGATAGTCAAGCTAAGAGTATATTTGAAGAACAACTAGAAAAACAGTTAGGCAGCCATGTAGGTGATGCCCACCCCGAGGCAGCATGGAACGACATCCGAAAAGCTGTGGAAACAGCAGTGATATCTGCTAGTATGGTAAACAACAAGGTTATGGGGCAACACTGGATCTCAGCAGCATCTATCGCACTGATAGATGCTCGGAAACTCGTTCCATCTGGCTCTGAACATAATGAAGAGCGGAGTCAGCTTAAGCGCAAGCTGACAAGAAGTCTACGCAATGATCGTGAACAGTGGCGGGTAGCGAAAGCAAGAGAGATGGAAAAGGCAGCGGCAATAGGTAATAGCAGACAATTGTTCAGACTCATTAAGAAAACCGGTATTAGGAACCTGACTGTTAGCGAAACAATCTCAGAAAAAGATGGACATATTATTCATTCTCAATCCAGGAGATTGGATCGATGGGCAGAACACTTTAGGGATCAGTTCAACTGGCCTTCAGCCACACTTCGGTTTCCCACGATTTCCAGTCAACCTGAATGGCAAGTTAATGTACGTCCTCCGTCTCTTTACGAAGTTGAAAAAGCCATAGGAAATCTGAAACGAGGGAGAGCAGCAGGCCCTGACAGGTTTACTCCTGAGATTTTCAAGGATGGTGGTCCAGTATCAGAAGGGAGATTGACTGAGGTTTTAGGTAGAATTTGGGAACTGGACTGTTGTGGATACAGAATAATATGCCAATCATTGTCATGTTAAGTCTATGGTGGCCTTGGACTTTAAATGTACATTCCCTATTGGCTATTATTTAATTCATTCGTTACATATTGTGTAAATGTTGTTTACTATTTTTATGGTACGATGTGGTTTGCTTGTTTGGTATATAAATAGAGCATGTCTGAAATACAATGATTCATATCTCCGAGGCTGTGACTTGTGTTCTGGACTCAACTGACTGGGCTAGACAGGGAAGTGAGACCAATCGAGGCTCTAGGCCGTCCGTACGTGTTTACGTGTCATTGTAATCGATCGATAAGTACGCTGCTCTCTAATTTTCCAGTCAAGGACACAACAATTAGCACAGGGTAAAAATCGATCACAACCTAAAGTCATAACATGGACGTAATCCCATCTGACTGGTCTCAATCTCTGATTGTGCCAGTCTATAAGAAAGGACAAAAGTCCTCTTGTGACAATCACAGAGGAATCACTTTGACTAATGTAATGTCTAAAATATTAGCTTCAATAATACTTCAGCACCTAACCAAAGCTCGTGAAGAGCAGACTAGAGAAAATCAGGCTGGTTTTCGACCTGGACATGGTTGTATAGACCACATACTCACACTGCGTCAGGTTCTGGAACACAGACACACGTTCAGACGCCCCACAATTGCAGTATTTCTCGACCTTAAAGCAGCATTCGACTCTGTTGATCGTAAGGTTCTATGGCAGTGTTTGTCACTGAAAGGAGTACCAAAGAAGTACATTAACCTTATAAAGGCTCTCTACTCAGACACAACTGGTAGAGTGAGAGCTTATGGCGAACTGTCATCAGAATTGATTACCTCAAGTGGTGTTCGTCAGGGCTGTCCACTCTCCCCATTCTTGTTCAACTTTGTGGTCGACGTACTTTTAGAGATAACACTTTCCTCGTCTAGATTTCCAGGGGTTGAACTTCTGCCAGGAGATTCACTAGTTGACTTAGAATATGCTGATGACATAGTCCTATTTGGTGAAGACGCTGACAAAATGCAGAGTCTTCTGATCACTCTAAGCAACAATGCAAGCATGTTCGGGATGCGATTCTCTCCCTCGTAACACAAAATGTTGCTTCAGGATTGGGTTACATCGACACCCGAACTAGTGATAGGGAGTGAAGTAGTTGAGTGTGTCGACCGCTTCACTTATCTTGTAAGTCTCATCAGCCCTCGTGGTCTGGTGTGTGACGAAGTCTCAGCACGGATACAGAAGGCTCGACTAGCTTTTGCCAACTTGCGTCATTTATGGCGTAGGCGAGATATCCGTCTATCAACCAAAGGACGTGTTTACTGCGCAGCAGTTCGTTCCGTCCTACTTCATGGCAGTGAAACGTGGCCAGTAAGAGTAGAGGATATCCGTAGGTTACTAGTATTCGATCATAGGAGTATTTGAAACATTGCTCGTATATCCTGGGACCATCGAGTAAGTAACGCAGTTGTTGGGAAACGGGTACTAGGTAAGGATGGCAAATCAATTGACGAAGTAGTGAAACTTCATCAGTTGAGATGGCTCGGATATGTGTTATGTATGCCCAACAACCAACTGCCTCGACGTGCGATGTTTTATGGTGTAGGAGTAGGTTGGAAGAAAGCTAGGGGTGGCCAGACCAAAACATGGCACAAGTCACTGACAAGTGGACTGAGTCATGTTTGTAGGTGTAGACTACCTGGTTGGGGACCGCGAGATGATACCAACTGATGGTTAGAGACCCTGAATGACATGGCTCAAAATCGTTTGCAATGGCACAGGTGCATACACTCTTTGTATTCTCCCAAATTTTGATCTCCTTATTCCTCCTTCTCTTTTTTTTCTCTTCCCAAATTTATTTCACTGTATTATACTCTTTAAATAAAATCTCCAAACACTAATTTTCCCGATTACTGCTTATACTCTTATTACCTCTACCACTACGGGATTTAAATCGACCACTGCATCTGTATGCTAATGTGGTGTGGCAACTCGAACTGACGTACGTACGTATGAAGTTCTACGTTGTTACTGACTGACTGACTGACTGACTGACTGATGGTAATATCTCAATGAAACTTTCGAATCTCAGATGCAGCACCAATTCTCTGAATATAATGTGTATGACTTAGTGATGATATTTGAAAACCATAGGTTGAAAGTAAGTGGTTTCCATCAGCTGCGATAAACCGCTATATTCATTTACTAAACGAAGCTGATAGTGGAGAGATGGTTTAGTGATTAGGGCGTTTAGACACTAAGTCCTGAGTTCAACACTCTCTCAGCCCCTGCTTTGAGTAGTTGGATAGTATCAGTAAACTTGAAACAGAATGTGCTCCACATCCAAGCACCTGAAAAATACGTTAATATAATTCATAAGAACTAATATAACTTACAGAAAATTATGAACAATTTTACTGGAAAAATGTTTATCTTTATTTCAGGTTCAGAAATGCATACACATTTCAATCCGAAGATTCAAATCAAAATATCAACTAGAACATCGTCGTTTTACTTCATCTTCTCTACCAATAACAACTATACCAACAACAAGTTTCACATAAGCAATAATTAAGAAAACCTACTTTTATCAACAGAATTGAATTCAGATAATATTTATACTTCAGACAACGACTAAACACTGAACAAGAACAGTTCAAGATACAAAACTAAGCAGACAAACAACAATGAAGACAACTTTATGAGTCGAAAGGAATATAATTAAAATAAACAAATAAAATGATGTACAGAACAAAACATGGTTAACCTTTAACCGAATATTATGACTTACATTAAAAACATTTAAACATTTTTTTCTGATTTATAATGGTTATACAAAAGATTTCGATAGGCGGAAATTTTCTCAAAATCAATACAATATTCATAAAGAATAAAAATAAGACAATTACAAAAGACTATTTTCCAGAAGCAATTTCCCGAAATGTCATGAAAAGCCGAGACCAGTAGATTTTGTAAGGTGAGGCGTGAAAAGCAAAATAAAATTGAGAATCGAGAACGCGTGCCGTCAGATTTTGACTCAGTGACTTAATAGTATTGTGTATCCCGAGAAAACTTAAGGGTTTGGTTTGAACCTTATGTGTGATTGAAAGAGTACAGAGCTAAGGTGCTTCAAAGCAGAATAGCGTTCCTACAAAAGAAACAAATTTAAATCTCAAAGCAACTGTCACTCAAGAATAAAATCAGAATTTTCAACACTTATGTTAAAATAATCCTGTCACAAGGAGCTGAAACTTGGATAACTACTACTAGTATTTATAAAAATCTGTCTACCTAAGATACACCAGATCCATTGGTCAGAGACCACCAACAATAACCTACTCTGACAGAGAACAAGCCAGCTACCAGTTGAGGAAGAAATTAGGAAAACATAGTGGAGATGAATAGGACATGCTGAGGAAGTCACTAAACTGGATCAAAAGGCAAGCCCTGAATTGAAATTTCCAATGCTAAAGGAAGAGGCATATCAAAGAACACATGGATCCGGGAATCGGAGGCAGACATCGAGAATATGGGAACAACTTAGCAACAACTGAAAAGGATCACAAAACAGAGATACTTGGAGCTCTGTGGTTAACAAACTACCTCAAGAGAGGTAGTGAGTTCCAGTAACTAAGTAAGAACGTTTGAAGTGTGGTCAACGATTTAAGTTATCTGGTACACTGAAACATTATTATTGGAGTTCAACGCATTTATACAGATATTTTGCTTGAAAGTTTCTGTATTATCGGTAAAAATGCCACATTTGGATTTAACATTTGAAATTATATAGAAGCTGCTACCTTGACGCGGTGGTCATCATTCAGAAGATACAAGTGTTTATTAACAGCTATCTACTCATAATACTTCGGATCCCTTGGCCAGACACTATTAGCATCAACCTACTATGGGAGAGAACAAAGCAGATCCCAGCCGAGGAGAAGTCAGCAAGAAGCGCTGGAAGTGGATATGGCACACATTGAGGAAAGCACCCAACTGAGTCACGAAGCTAGCCCTCACTTGGAATCCGCAACGCCAAAGGAGAAGAAGAAGACCAAGGAACACATTACGCCGACAAATTGAGACAGACATAAGAATGAACAAAAATTCGATAGAACTAGAAAGAAAGGCGCAGGACATAGTGGGTTGGAGAATGCTGGCCAGCGGCCTATGCGCCATTGGGAGTAACAGGCGTAAGTAAGTAAGTTTCTCACGTGGCATGGCTATTCGAGTCTATGGAAATTTGTGCCTAGCGCTATGCTATTTACGACATACTAACCGATTTAATATTTAAACTCTGTCAATCAAGGCTGAAAACCATATCAAATAAAACGTCATAACTCCATATTACAAATGTACATTGACTCTGATAGTTTTATACACTGCTCGAAAGTACTTATCAACATGATATCACCTGGCCTGTGTGGCAAATCCGAACGATTCACCTTCTGAATATATCTAAAGGTTATTAAACGATAAGTTGAGAAGCATTTACAACCAATCAGGAGGAAAGTCATCAAATTATTTATATGCCACGCTAAGAAGTATAGAACTCACTTGTTGAATTTATATAACAGAATGTTATTCCTTTTAACAATTGTTCCAGTGAATATATCCACTATAAGTTGCAATCTGAAAAGATTGTGGTCTGACCACACACTCCGTTTTTTATTTGAACGAGTATCCGCTCAAGGCTATGTCTAGTTAGAAAATTTCCACTAGTTCTTTAACTAAAGAGAGATTCAAGGGTAGGTTAAATAACCTCTTAGGTCAAGATAATTTTTCGTAGAAGTATTCATCATATGAGTGCTATTGACGTTTGGGTTTTAAAAAGCGCAGCATAATAATCCCAATCACTTGATTAATCTACTAATGGGATTGAATCTAAACAAACATAAAAATAGTGTGCTAAGTCATGAACGGCACACCATTTTAATAGTCCTTGCAATACATAAATCTACATTTCACTATAACACACTAGAAGATCAATTAAGAATGATGAGTGTAACTATATATGCTCCAACCAGTTGTAAAGTAGTTTTCTGATCCCAGTTAATAAGATTTAAACGACAAAGCGCATTTTATTTACTTGATCACTTGCAAACTTAAATATATATACTTCTATTTATAAGAGAGATATGGGAAATAGAGAAAAGTGAGACCAATGATATAAGTGGTCTGTTCATGTTTCGCTATTTTAGTTTATTGTCCATCATAATAAGACTTGAGCTCAAATCGTGACATGCTGCTATTCATATCAGAAATTTTCTTACGTACCTCATATATACATCTGGAGTATCTAAATGTATAAAATTAATAAATTGCTCCACAAAACGAATCATGCTTTTTTTCCAAGAAGTCGAAACTTCCCCATTAGCTAGAAAATATGACTATTGCAATGTACCTTATTACGAAATAAATCTTCAGGGCAGTACGAGTAAATATAAGGCGCATCACCATGGGTCTGTTCCAGTAGAAACTTTTCTTGATAGGTAATAAGAATAATCACGATTCAGTAAGAATAAAGCGAATACCAATTAATACTTTTCGTAGAAAAGTGAAGAAAATTAGCAGTCACCTGACAAATACTAGAATAAATTCATGATATAACCATAATGCCAGAAGTTGTGTGATTTTTTAGATTATTTTAATTATCGGTGGTCATTAAGCATTTGACTAAATCTTCGACATATTCAAATTGCTAATATATTTAAAGACTTTATTTAAAGATAACTAAGTATCAAAATGGTAAGTTTCGACACAGATTCTTTTTTCCCTATCCGCAAAAATAATGCATACATTTAGGGCTAACAATAAAAAAATCTAATCAAAAAGAAAATGTTTTCGACCTCTAATCACTGTACTGACATGAATCACTAACTACTCATGTGTTTAATGAGTAGTTCTTCTTATTTTGTGCTCTTCAAAGAAGTATAAATAAACTAATTATGAAAATCACAACAAACGGTATCATTGTTAGGAGTTTAAAGGCTAATTCCATAAAGAACTCAACGGTCTTTGGTTTTATCATTGGTACATTTATCTGTACCTATCAACGAAAAGAAAACGGTGTTTAATACCCAATAATTTTCAACAGTTGGAATTCAAGAGCTGAGACTTGATGTTAACAATACCTTAAGGATTTTGGGAAGATAAACACTGGATTTTTAGCCAAGTATTAATTAGGTATTCCATATTTTTCCCTAAGAATGGTAAACATAAACATCATACAGCTTATCACTTTCTGAGTTCCATAAGCTATACGATGGGCATTACTTTTATACCCCTATAATAAAATTAGTAGGTTTATATTCCGAGTAAAGAATAAGGCGGTCAGAAAACTGTGTCAGTCTGTTAAATAAAATGTTGCCGAAAGCGATATGTAGGAAGTCCTAAGCAATGATGCCTTAGCTTTGAAGAAAATGATGCTCTGCTGGGCTTACACAAAGTATATTGGGGTTTTAGTCACTTGGCTGAGTGAATAATAGAACTGAAGAGTGAGCAGCACAGTGCGTGTTACCTAGCAACCAATTAGTATAGTTTGGAAATGAGGAAAGACTCCAAACGTTTTCTTTCCTTAAAAGTAAATGATACTCACTTGTCACTCATACGTTGTTCATCCTTTTTGGAATCGGCTAGTAAAGGGAGCTGGATACATGCAGCACCAGATGCAATACGTCCACGAATCAAGCGTGCACATTCAGTTAATTGACTTATTAAATGACAACGATTAAATGGTCGAATAACTTGACGTGTTAAGTTTGATGTGTAGGCAAGTTCCAAAATCAACTCAGTATACGACTGGGGAAAATCCAATGGTGGCTTATAAAAAAAGAAATACTACTTGTAGACAGAATTAAAATCAACATCAAGACTGTTTTTAAGTACCAATATGTGTTTCGTTTCTTAAGGGTTTATTAATTAGCAGTCTTGCAAGGAAGTTAAAACATCATATAGCAATAGATTTAGAATGTGAGTGGTAATAGTATGTTGTTTTACACAGTTAGTTGGAATTATGAGTTTTTATTGTACGGACTTCTTAACAAAGACAACCAAGATCAAGTTTCTAAAATGTGATTTTGGACTTTTCAAGAACTAATATAATCATGAGCAGAATATAAAAACTTCAATAATGAAACCATACCACTACAAATAAAGCATCTAATACACAACACAGCACAGTCAGTGGATGATGTAGTTCTTTTTGGCCTGTACCAATGCATAAGTAAGTGTCTAACTTTTAATCGCCAAACGTTTGCGTATGAATGTCAGTATATAAGCCATCGGTAAGAACTCAAAAATAATTATCATGAGATTAGATATAAGTCGATTGCTGTTCTAAATAACGCTCAGCACCCAAGAACTCATCTCTGAAATGAAGATCATATCAGAAAAATACCCATCAGTGCCACAACTGTGACTCTCGAACTCAACAAAAGTTCGTTTGCCAAAAGATTTATTTGTCTAAACGTAAAATCTTGGCAAAGAGTAGGGACGATGTTCTGCTTTTATACCTTTTATTTTATTCTTCTTTGTTATCATTGAGGTAATCACCAGGTAACTGGAGTTAATATGTTATGTTAGTATTTTAAAGTAAATGACCCAAAAGTTAATGACTGTTTGGCAATCTTTTTGAAGAATATCAACTATTAATCTCACGCTCAACCATTTAGTTTTCCTGCCGTTCTAATGATTCTTGACGGTTATTAGCTTTATTTAGGTAATATCTCCCCTAACTATAAGGTAGATGGGTGGGTGTTATGTGGTGAGTAAATCGAACTTCTAGTACATTGATATGACTCAAGATGTTCTACGCTTTGGTCTGGAGTGCTTGGCAGCTCTTTCACACTGTCATCAGTCCATGGTGAGATTATCTGCAATAATAATGATATTGAGAGGATGAGTGGTAAAATCAAAGACCTTGTGAAAAGCAATATGCAACCGATGAGTGAAATATTACATACAACTTTGACTTTAGTAGTCTTCTTCCTTTTTTTCCGAAAATCCAGACGAGCGAAAGGATTAGTAAACTTCGGCTGTTGTGTAGACAATCTGCGGTTCATATTAAAATCCTTGAGACGAGAGGTATTTTGAAGGTTGCTTTCATTTAAAACCAATTTGGAAAGTTTTCGCACGAAATAATTTGTCCTGGGTTCTGCAGAATTTGCACGCCGACGAGGAATTCCTTAACACAGGAAATCAACATGTTATTAAGAAGAAATCAAAAGACAGACTATTATATACTGGCAACTATATACTAGCAAGTTCTGAAGCAATATGACCTGATCAATAACTTAACTATATCTAGCAACCAGACAATCAAGATATACGTATTAAAACACTATAGATTAGAGATAAACAAGTATTGTGCCTAATGACATAACATACAAAGAATACGGTAGTTTCAAAAAGGTCAGTGATTTTTGTACTTTATGGTGACATATATTCAGTGATTTTTGTAACAACAAAAATAAAAACATTTTTTCTCCAATTTGTCACACCTTATTTCTAACCACATTTTTATTCAATATCTGTTGTTTTGCTGTATCACTTGTTAAAAAAGACGATAATTTTTGTTTCGATGAATGATATACGATACTACTACCGCGTTGTTTAAAATATAGAACACTGTCTACGCCGTTGTTCTTCTGTTTTATTGGCCACCGTTTTGATTGAAGACTATAATAGTATTATAACATCATAACTCCGGCGGCCTGCTTGAATATCTGGGCTACCTGTTCCTTCGAACTAGATATTTCTTCAAGTTATCTGTTTTGTTGTTTGTTTTAGCACATCAATATGTCTATTGTGCTCACAATCTATTCGGGCGCGTTTATGAAAAGTTTACAACCTTTCGCTATACGGGATACAGAAAGGTACAATCAGCGACATCATGGTGACTGGCAATATGCAATGAAACGAATGAACATTAATCAAATGTGGATTACCGAATTCCTAACATCTAACTGGTCATCATTCGAAATTTATCGTCACAATCGATCAAGATATAAGAAAAAGAAACTTGTTGAAATACTTTATGCTGAGAATTCTATGTTGTACCAAAAGTATAATGTTGAATAAAGCTTCTTATAATAATAATAATAATAATTATAGGCCTTCCGACTCAACGTTGGACTTTTGGCGCGGTTTACTATTGTATAATACTATTGGACTCCGTCTTCCTCATTACGTCATTGGTGCAGTCACTTGGAGAGGAACACCTGTCAATCAAGTGAACTCAGTTTGTGGTCGTTGTTCTCACGTGGCAGTTAACAAGTAACATTCATTCTATAGTAACTGTTAGCGTCTGTTTGTTTAATATACCTTTTATATTGCTAACGGTATTTTATTACATTTGTTTTTACTAACGGACAGACATCTAGGTTTCTTTGCCATTAATTTGTTTTGGTATATCATTGTTAACCTAGTGTATCAATATATTTTGTGTAAGCTCCTTTGGTTTGGGAACCACCACAAATTTGGTGAGCCCGTAAAAATTTTTTTTTACTCGAAACTACTTTTGAGTTCACTTACAGACATTACGGCGTTATTTTACCCTTGGTAGTATTTAAATTTTCGTATATTTGTAATGTACTCATCCGAAACTGAAGGCATTAGCCAGGATAACATTTCAGCAGAGCTACACGCTCTAAATTTGATAAATGTGCCCCCATTCAGCCGATTAAATCCTCGCATTTGGTTTGCGCAAGTAGAAGTACAATTTCAGCGTCGCAACATACGCTCACAGGCATCTAAATACTCTTTTGTGCTTGGATTACTACCCACTGAAGTTGCATCTGAGGTGTCAGATTTGATAGATAATATTCCTGCACCGAATCCATATGATCAATTGAAGCAGGCAATTATTCAACGTACCTCATTATCTGATGAAAAGAGATTACAGCAATTACTGCACGATTGTGAGCTAGGCGACAAATCACCGTCTCAATTATTACGACACATGGGACAATTAGCTGGCCCTTATAAATTTGATGACGCCTTCCTCAAGGAGATTTGGCTACAACGTTTGCCAACAGTAGTTAGGCAAATTCTTTGTGCCTCTAGCCAAACATCAGATTTAGAGAGTCTTGCTAACATGGCCGATAAAATTTTAGAAGTTACACCCGGTACAACACCTTACGTACAGGCAATATTAGAAACTTCGAACGATAAGCAAACTCCCACCATAGCATCGTTAACTGCTGAACTAGGCGAACTACGAGCACAACATGAACGAACTGTCGCTAGTCTTGAAAATAAACTGGATGCACTACAATTATTAATCTCCAATTTCACATCTACAAGACCTCGTTCTTGTTCTCGAGGGAGTAAAAATCGAAATAACTCAAAAGGAAACAAAAACGACGACAACATATGTTGGTACCATAAAAAATATGGTGACAAAGCTAGGAAATGTGTTACGTCTTGTAAATTTTTCAAGTCATTTTCCTCACCAAAACGTGTCAACCAAACCATGGTAGCGACAAATGTTTCTGGTCGTGCGCCTACTCGTCTTTTCCACGTTCTTGATAAAACTTCAGGCTACAAATTCTTAGTAGATACTGGAGCTGAAGTTAGTGTCATCCCAGTTACCTTAGCCAATAAACCTATTGCTAAGAGTGGAAAATATACCCTAAGGGCAGCTAATAAAACCGAAATAAAGACATTTGGCGAACAATTTCTAACATTAGACTTGGGAATTAGACGTAATTTAACCTGGGTATTCATTATTGCGGATGTCCATCACCCTATACTAGGTGCAGATTTTCTAAGTTTCTACAACCTACTAGTTGAAGTTAAGAGAAGAAAACTTATTGATTCCTGCACGAACCTTCAAATCCAGGGAATTCAGTCGGACTACCACATACATAGTATTAAAATTGACACCCCAGGGAACGACATATTCGCCACCATTCTATCTAAATTTCCCAAAATAACGAAACCAGACTACAGTGAAAACACTGTCCAACATTCTGTAGTACACCGGATCATCACAAAAGGTCAACCAACTTCGGCACGTCCACGCCGATTACCACCAGACAAACTGAATGTTGCAAAAGCTGAGTTTGATCATATGATGCAGCTAGGTATAATACGTCCGTCAAGTAGCCCCTGGGCATCCCCACTCCACATGGTGCCCAAGCGAGACCAAGATTGGCGACCCTGTGGTGATTATAGATCATTGAACAACCTGACATTACCGGATCTCTACCCAATCCCTCATTTACATGATTTTTCTCTCACTTTACATGGCAAGCAAATTTTTTCTAAAATCGATCTTGTGCGAGCGTACCACCAGATACCAGTAGCATCCGAGGACATTGCAAAAACAGCCATCATTACTCCATTTGATTTGTTTGAATTTCTAAGAATGCCTTTTGGATTAAAGAACGCCGCACAAACATTTCAACGATTTATGGATGACGTCACTAAAGGCCTAGATTTTGTTTTCGTGTATATTGATGATGTTTTAATAGCTAGCAGTTCGCTCCATGAACACGCTGATCACCTACATCAATTATTCGAAAGATTTCAGAAATATGGCATAGTGATTAACCCATCCAAATGTATTTTCGGAGTTGAGAGTTTAGAGTTTTTAGGTCACTTGATCGACAAACGTGGAATTAAACCTTTGGATATAAAAATAGAAGCCATCAAGAATTTTCCAGAACCAGACTCATGGAATAAACTTCGACGTTTCTTGGGGATGATAAATTTTTATTCAAGACCTATTACCTTACAAATATTTAATCAGTGTTCCAGAAAATCCCGATCTGGAAATTATAAAAAACACTGAAAAAGTAATTGACCATATATCATCTGAAGTGTTGAAAAGACTTCAGTGTATGCAGAATGTTATTGTGTATAATATACCTGATAGTACGAACATAAAGATTGCTAAAAATACTCTGCTACAAGAATGTGGATTGTCGCAATCTTGGTGTGTAACAAGAAGATTACGTAAGGCACACACTAAAGCCTCCTGTCCCATTCTATTTCAGTTTGGTAGCACCACTGAAGCTAATCACCTCCTCAATAGTCAGTCATTACTGAGGCGTATTCCAACATTTAAAAAGATTAGGATCATTCATGACAGGACCGCTATCCAGCGTCGAATCTGCAATGGAACACAAACTGATCAACCCAGCTTACGTAGCCGTGGCAGCTACAGCTCTTGTCACTGCACAAACCCTAAAATATCATACACTGCCCCCCCAAAAAACGGAGGCACGTCGGACACTGCTATTAGTCCTAAGGACAAGACCGCACATAAAGCAGCTACAACCACTCACCCTCAGCCCAGACACTCAGCTACCCCAAAATGCCAAACCACTTATGCCTCAATAGCGTCCAAGTATTACCCTAGCGGCCCTTATAAAATGCCTAAAAATGATCCTCCCAGGGATCGCGCTAACAGCTACAGACCCGCAGACACCGCTGTGCGAAATAATACCAAACTCTCCGTAAAAACCCACCAATACTCCAGCACCCCTAACCCAAAACATGCACCTTCTCATAGTAATAGAATGCCCTACAACAAACATAGAGAACTGGCAACACCCACTCATCCTAATGTGAAACGACACTCGACAAGAACCACACCCACACGTGATACCCATAAGTCATATGGTGTCAACCTTGTAAGCCCCATGAACCAACACAAAACTATACACAACAGAAACACCTCTCCTGGCAACAATAACAGGCATTCCTTCATCCCTTACCAGAAACATACAACCTCCCCAACTGACCACAATAGGACTAAAATTGCCCACCGCACACGAGGAAGCCATAACGCTGGCCTACTTGGGAACCCACCTACAGATTCTAGGTACTATCTAAGTCAAGCCACCCAATACAACGGTTTAGTCCCCCCTAATTCGACATGCACACTATCTCATCCTTTTTTATCTCTCTCCCCCTCAACATTACTGCTATGGGGTCTCCAAATGTTGAGGGCGACAATCCCACTATTCTGAAACCATCTATATACTCCGATTTAATGGGGAGTAGCACATCCTACTCAACTTCGATAACTGTCTCTAGTCTTGAAAACTCCTTGACTGAACCCCCTGATCATTCCCCGGACACATTACCTAATCATTCGACTCTACCTTCCACTCTTAGACATACTTCTTTCACCAAAACCACACCCGACTACCCTTCTTGCATTAACCCTAATGGTAATAAACTAAACACTCATCAATATGGAGTCAACGCTCCCAATTCTTCCTTTTCTCATGGCAAAACAGACAAACCACTCGGTTTACATCATACCCTTCTACTAGACAAACAGTCACCGTACCTGACACTTATGTTAATCAACGCTCGATCTGTACAAAGTAAGATGACTTACCTACGCACCCTATTGCTTTTAAAC